AGATTTTACAAGATCGGGATGATCTTCACCGTTCATTTCATCGATGCGATTTGGGCCATTCTTTTCCCCTGTAACAAGATGACAAACCAACTGACGTAGCAACAGTGGACTTTTAAAGATCGAGATGATCTACAACGTTGATTTTGTTGATGCGATCTCAGTCATTCTTTTGACCTACTTTAGGGTTTACGCTTTCATTTTTAATTTATTTTTTATTATAACTCAAAATAATCATATTTCTCATTCAAATACTTAATTATTATTCATATTTGAACACTTCAGTACTACATGCAAATTCACACAATAACTTTAAACTTTAACAAACACTTCTATATTGTTGAACAATACTTTATTATACACTAGGTTTCAACAACAACAAAACAACAACACAAACGTCCTTCAACTAAACATTGTAACTTAACAAACTAAACATTAACAGTTAATAGATATGGAAAACTACATTAAGTTTAATTGTCTTTCAAATGAACTGCCCATGTTCCGCATATGGAATTCTTAAGCCTCCACATCTTCAAAAGTAGCAAACAGATCCAATAGCAACTCATTCAGGTCTTCTAAATCTGTAAAACATGAATGCCACATCTTCATCACAGGTCAAAGGATATGGAGTATATTGCTTTTGCCCATCCTCACATTTAACTAGACAACGATAATGAACTTGACTGATGGGTTTACTATCACCTTTGATCAGCCTCCTATGCATCTCATTTAACAAATAAACAAGTTTCATGTCTTCATTTAGTTTGATCAACCTTCCACTTGATGGCATTTGCATCATATAATCGAGACCATACTGAGTTTTAAATTTCTGAACATCTTGAAACACAAGTGCAAAGACTGTTGATGAAGCCATACTTCAAAGAAACTGCTACAAGATTTCTATCTTAAGTTGATGAGGAAGTAAGATGGAAGCTTATTCTTTCTCAAGTGTCTAAACCCAAAACACACACATACTCTTATATTTATATGCAGATGTGAGACACTAAAATACTAAAATAATATGAGGTCCATCAATTCAACATTGACCTCTACGAATTATTTAAAAATAACTAGAAGGACCATATATTTACTATAAATACCACATTGCTTTATTAGATTTTTTATCATTCATATGAATATTATAACAACTAATTCACAACAAATGCTATCAATAATTATAAAATTAACAACAATAATTACAGTATAAAAAGAACAACAACAATAAATACATGTAACTAAATAAAATGCACAATTTTATCAATAATTAATAATAAAGTTGTTGAAATTAAAATGAAAAAAATTAAAATTTTACAATCCAAATAAAATATTAAATTACAGTTATCCAAATTACAAAACAACCTAAAACTCAAATACTATAATTTTTTGCTCACTGAATCAAATATCCTTGGGAATAACCTGTAAAAAAAATTAACATACAATTGTTAAAGAATAATCATTGCTTCATAAATTAAATTTGATAGGTTGGGGCAAACACACAAATTTGAAGAAGAAAAAAACATAATCAATTCAACACCTAAATAACATATGAGAACATCTTATATAACAAATAATACTTGTTTCAAAACTAACATACAATCGGCAACAATGTCTTCCCCATATTGTGGGTGCTGCTTAGCTTTGTAATATAAGCTAGCACCAATCGTTCTAGTTGGGTCCTGAAATAAATATTTGAAATTATTTATAAAAAAACTATCTTTTAATCTATAACACATTCACTAATCATAACTTCAAGTTAATAGTAAAATTTTCGTTGCTAGTTGGGGCCATAGAGTCCACAAAAGCAACAACAGTTGGAACTTTTTCAATATTATGGTCTATATAAATCAATGGCGTGACTTCTGGTAGCCTATAATATTAATAAAACATGAAAACCTTTCTATTAATTACATGAATAAATTTAAACACACCAAACTTAATATGTCAACAAACCTCTAGATTTCACGTAATGAAGTGAATAACATCACGGGTTAGTGTTGAACACCATGTTCATGGTTCGATTAGTATCAGGCGGAAACTATTGTGTTGGTAAGGGACTATCAGACTGCCTATTCCTCAAGGCAGCTTGGACCAAACCAGTAGGTCCAGGAATAAGAGGGGCAACGTTACATAACGTAAAAGCTTCCTCGTCATTATCATCTCCAAGTCTAGGAGTTGAGGGTGACAACGAAGGCAATGACTCTTGTTCTCTAGCTTCAACAACTTGTTGGGCCGTCATAGCCTTTCTCCACCGTGACATGCGTCACTCATGTGTCAGTTCTTCCTCTGAGCGAATAATTTCTTGCTCCTCTCACTGTTTGACACATAATCAATTGCTTTACGAGACATTTCTGAAAAAATATAATTTATTATAATATTTAGATATTATAAAATCTGGAGAGATACCATATTATAATAGGCATGCATTATGGACATTCTTGTCCAATCATAAATTAATATATAAAACAAATTATTTGATTTTTTATCACTAAATAAATTTTTTACCAGCTCTAATTAGTTTAGTGCAATTTTTTTTACAATGTTAGTATAAAGAAAATTAAATTCTATTTGTATTATTTGAATTAGTCACATTTATAATATTAAATAAAATAGTCACATTTATAATATTAAATTAAATACATAATATTCAATTATTAAATTTAAACTATATAACTTTTACATTTATAATTTATAATTTTTAAATTTTAAAGATAATTTAATTTCATAATGATTACCAATATATCTACATTAATTTATAAAATTATCTTTCATCATTTTAAAATTTGAATAACTAAATAATATATACACATATTCAAGAAAAATAGGCACATTTGTATAATATTCAATTAAATACATATATTCAATTATTAAATTTAAACTACATAATTTATACATTTAAGATTTTAAATTTTTTAAATTTAAATAAAATTTAATTTCATGTTGATAACCAAAATATCCACATTAATTTATATTTTTTTTTTCATCATTTTAACAATTAAATAACTAAATTGTATATACACATATTCAAGTAAAATAGGCATATTAATAGTATTCAATTAATTACACATTTTCAACTATTAAATTTAAACTATATAATTTTTATATTTAAGTTTTCAAGTTTTTATTTTATTTTAAAGATAATTTCATAATAATTACCAAAATATTCACATTAATTTATAAAATTGTCTTTCATCATTTTACAATTAAATAACTAAATCATGTGTACACATATTAAAGTAAAATAGGCACATTTATAATATTTAATTAAATACATATATTCAATTATTAAATTTAAACTACATCATTTTAACCTTTAAGATTTTAAATTTTTTTTAAATTTAACAAAAATTTAATTTCATAATGATAACCAAAATATCCACATTAATTTATAAAATTGTCATTCACCATTTTAACAATTAAATAACTAAATCGTATATACACATATTCAAGTAAAATAGCCACATTTATAATATTTAATTAATTACATATTTTCAATTATTAAATTTAAACTATATAATTTTTACATTTAAGTTTTTAATTTTTTTATTTTCAATATAATTTAATTTCATAATGATTACCAAAATATCTACATTAATTTATAAATTTGCCTTTCATCATTTTAACAAATAAATAACGAAATCATGTATACACATATTCAAGTAAAATAGGCACATTTATAATATTCAATTAAATACATATGTTCAATTATTAAATTTAAACTATATCATTTTTACTTTTAAGATTTTAAATTTTTTAAATTTAGATAAAATTTAATTTCATAATGATAACCAAAATATCTATATTAATTTATAAAATTGTTTTTCATCATTTTAACAATTAAATAACTAAATCATATATATACACATTCAAGTAAAATAAGCACATTTATAATATTCAATTAATTACATATTTTCAATTATTAAATTTAAACTATATAATTTTAATATTTAAGTTTTTAAATTGTTTATTTTAAAGAAAATTTAACTTCATAATGATTACCAAAATATTCACATTATTTTATAAAATTGTCTTTCATCATTTTAACAATTACATAACTAAATAATATATACACATATTCAACAAAATTAGGCACATTTATAGTATTCAATTAAATACATATTTTCAATTAATTTAATATATTTTAATAATTTTAAAAATTATTTTTAAATTAACAGATAATTATCTACATATATTTTAAACACATATATTATATTTCTTAATTTTACAATATACAATGTATTTTAAAAAATATAAATTATATACTTATTTATAACTTATTTACAAAAATAAATGGAGAAATAATGTATGTGTTTTTTAACCTGCAAAATAATACAAAAAATTAATCTAAAAGATAAATAAATAAATAACAAATCATAAATAAAAATAAATTATACAACTTACAAGAGTGAGAGTAAGGAAAAAGGGAAGGAGGGTTAGAATGAGAGAGTTTGAATTTATAAAGAGAAAGGAGGAGAGAGAAGATGGGGAACACGGCCAACTTTGATTTCTGTCACGCGTCAAAAATTACTTATATTGATAATTTTTTTTTTAATTCGTGTATTTTATTAATTTTTTTTAATTTATTTCGATAAAAACCCACCACACTAGTGTCTATTTCTCACTCCTCTGCAAATGTACCTTAGTACCCGATAAAATGCGTTTTTTTTTTTTTTTTTTTTTTTTTTTTTTTTTAATTAGCAAGGGAAGAAAACAAGAAAGAAAGAGGTACATAGGATTTGAAATTTTTTTTATACATTTTATTCGTTTTAGAAAAATTGAATGTTCCCTTTCCACTGTATTCATGGATTACTCTTCAACAATTCTATAAAGAAACCTCTTTATCTTTGTGTCTCAAATCATCTTATAGTCACCAAGAGAAAATGTGAGTCCAAATCCTTTAAATCGTTGGCAGTGAAACATTTGTTTTACAAGATTTTGAAAATTTATTAGCTTAGGAAGCCAGCCAATAATACTACATCAATAAGTTTAACAACCACCGTGCTTTTCTAACTATTAATGACTGTCTCTTTTTCATTTCTTATTACTGTGGCAGCAATTACACTCCTCGTACTCCCTGGTTGGAGTCTTGAACAGCTCCGAACAAAATATGGGGTTGTCCATTTCCATATTCTCCTTAATTGTGCTAATGTTACATGTATGTAGCTTGTGAAGATCTCTAGATTATTCATGACCAAACAAACCATATTATATAACAATGCCAGAATAGCAACACTAAAACAGATACAAAATAGGCCAATGAAAGGCTGAAATCCTGTGGATGACCCATCTTTTGCCCTGCTCTCTAAAGGAGAACATTTTGCATTGCCTCCTATTGATAGCATATCTTTTTCAAGTTGTTCGGTTTCTCCACTCTCTATCACTTTCAGCAATGCCTCGGATATGTCGGTAGCCAGAGTAGAACCCTTGGGAAATACCTAATCAAACACCCAAAATGTACATGCTAGTTAAGATAATTTTAAGAAATAGGGTAAACCTTTTTTTTTTTAAAAAAAAAGAAAACAAATAATGTGCAATGTCTTGTGAATTAAGTATTTAAGTTTGGTAGAGTGAAAACCGGAGGAATTCAAGTAATGGTTTATGAAGTATTGACATTTAATATACTTTTTCTAAACTTTTCTTGAAGTACTTTTAGGTGAAAAAATAAAATAATTTTTTCTATAAATTAAAATTAGTTTAAGCATAAATTAACTGGTAGAAACTCTCTTATGTAATTTCTCAAAAGATTTATTTTTAACTTATGTTTAAATTAGTTTTAGTTTTATAAAGAAGTTTATATCATTTTTTTTTCATCTTTAAAGTGTTTATGAAAAAGTTTATCCAAACATATCTTAAGAATTTCTAATTTGAAATTTTCTTTAGGATTTGTCCAATTTTTCACTACTATCAAACATGTGATAAAATCGTGCAATAAAATTAAGGGAGAGAGACCCACAAAACCTAAGCCACCAAGCCTGAAGGTGTTCCCAGCTTTGATTAGACCCTTGCATGAATACCTTGCCAGAAAGACCTTAGCATGAGGCACACTAAAGAAAGCTGCTTCAATATACTTGTTCTGAAAGGCATCAGGGTAATCACTCATGGAGTAAAATTTCCTTATGTTCTCAGGCTTGAATTTTAGTACGTCAGTCAAATACTTTATAACAAATGAATTTCCATTACAACCAACTGGGGAATTTCTTCTCTGAAGGGTTTGGATATCCAAAATAGATGGCTCTAGTTGCGAAATGGTCATCATGGAAGTCAAACTTGCTGTGAAAGTACTAGTTGCAATGAGGATCACAAATAACCATGGTGCCATAACAACTCTAGCCATGGGGCTTGTAATTGGTTCTCCTGCATATTAGATTTATAAATGTACCAAGAATTAGTGATTGGCTTTTCAAAAGGAAACATGGATATATCTCTCCATGAATTTTTACAAATATGTGTCTATAGTGCTATAGTTTTGTTTTCTTCTTATTACATGTGTTTGGATCACCCTTTGAAGGAACATTCACATTTTTCAAGAAAGGAAATATAAAAGCAATATTACCTTGTCATTGGGTGTATTGTTAGTTCATGTTGGAGAAAGAAGGTTTCCAAATACATTTAAATTTTATTTAAATAAATTTCTCAATAAATACTTATATGATAAAAAAAAAATAAGAAAATAAATTTTTTTCTTAAATTAAAATTAACTTATGTATAAGTTAATTACACAATCTAATTTTAACTTACGAGATAATTTTATTTTATTTTTATTTGTTATTTACTTTTTATACAAGTTCTTATCAAAATGTTTATCCAGATAATATTATAGTTATACAATTTGAAAAGATTCATAAGACAAATTTTATGGAAGTTGGATAAAATCAAAGGACAATATCATAATCCTAACCGAAGTTTTGGTCTACAATTGATACTGATGTTTATTAGCTATGAAATTTACTCTTTTGAACTTGAAATTCATGTTAGAGGACTTACTGTGTGCATAGAATATTACAGTGACTAAAAACCAAAGCATGGGCCCGAATCCCTGTAGTTCTGCATTAACTTGCCTTTCGATCAACCAGATGACAAATCCCACGAAAATGTGCAAGGTTGCCATCATCAACCACATCTCTTTTGTGAAAGCGTCCAAAAAGATCCATGTTTTTGATTTTGCTGATTGCTCTCTAACCACCATGTCGAGGCCAGATTCAACATAAGGTTGTGAGAAGTCCACTAAATGATATCTATATGCCATTATTGCTGTATCTCCGACAGCAGCATCCAATGTCTACATAAGAAATAAAAACTTAGATTTGTATTAAGCAAAAGAAGCTTTCTAAAAAGAAAAAAAAAAAAAAAAGGTTTTGGTTTATATAAAAATTTGGAACAATTTCATAATACAATAATAAACTAGTCCTCTATATTAACTAGCCAAACTAGTTAATTGCTACCATACCTTATTGGAGACTTGCTCTACCATTTCATCATAAGACCCATTGAAGGGAATAAACTCGTATTTCAAGTCATAAGGCAAAGCATTAACAACTGCTTTAAAGACATCGATTGAGAAACCAGTGATAGATGTATTATTTTTGTTCTGATCATGTGTGACATTCACAAACTCATGAAAGGTACCATTTGTAGGTACTCCTATTTGCAATGTCCTCTCCTCAGTGCTGCGAGTCCATCCCTTAGGGACAAATTGTAAGCCTCCAGGCCAATAAACTGTACTCAAAACACTATTTGAAGTAATATTTGTCTTCATTATCTCTGTTAGTTGTTGACTAACTAGGTTCTTGGAGAAACCTAGTGCTGGAGACCATAATGCCAACTCTCTATAACTTTTACCTATCACATTAATTATATTGAATGCATGTGATTGTTGTAACTTACTATTGTTGGAGAGATGATTTCTGAATAATTGTTCAAGATTAAACTTAAACTTCCCTTGTGATTCTCTTGCAGCATGAGCAATAGCCCAGGTTGCATTATAAGATTGAAATGCAAAGAAACTTGGGTTAATGTTCTCTTCTTCAGGGAACTCCAATGCAAACCTTCTCCGAAATTTGAACTTGAACCTTCTAAATGCCTCACTTGTTTCCGTGAAGTGTCTCTTAAATCCAATAACTCCTTGCATGTGAAGGATAACAGACGAGTTAACTGAATCAAGAAGGCTAGCAACCCCATCTGGGATAATCCACACACAACCATTTTCCATCAAACCCATTTGCTTTGCTTGCTCAAAAAGTATGTTAGCCAACTCCAAAGAAGATTGCACAATCAAGAAGACCCGGTTACTCTTGCTTTTGAGCCTATGAAGCTCTTTTTCAATGGTAGCTTTTGGGTCTGATAAAGAGGACAAGGAAGGCAAAGCTAAATGGTTATCAATCTCAGAACCAACAATCCGAAGAGAATAAGTGAGGCCAAGCAATGTCCCTGGATCATAGGAAAACCCGTTATTAAGTTCATAGATTGATGTCACCTTTCGCCATTTGAATTCTCCTACAATGGTTGTGATGCATTGCATGTGAATCTTGATATCATCGCCAATTTGGATAAAGTGTGGCAATTGAGGGGATAATAATTTTGTGTTGGCTGCGGGAGAAGTTAGAGACAATATAGGAACTTTCTTTATGGTGCCATTTAACTCGCTGGCCAGAGTTGCTTCATTGTGAGTTATTGTTCCTATGATGGCTAAGACTTGCTTTCTCTGTGCTAGATCCATAACTATATTTATAAAAGCATAATAGGGTTATATTGTTTTATTGTTAAACAGTATACAAGAAAATATTGAAATAGTTGCAGAAAATAAGAGTCGGTTAATAATTAACTTAAATATTGTCAGAAAAGTCGACACTATTTTAAGATGTAGTATCAATTTTTTCGATATTCAATTTAAATTAGATTTAGTGTTGAAAAAGTCGACATTATTTTTAAATATAGCGTCGGCTTTTCTGACACTAACTTAATTTAAATTAATGTCGAAAAAGCCTACGCTATATGTAAAGAATAGTGTCGATTTTTTTTATACTAACTTAAATTAAGTTTAGTGTTAGAAAAGTTGACATTATTTTTTTTAGATATATTGTTAGCTTTTCTGATACTAATTTAAATTAAGTTAGTGTCAGAAAAGTAGACGCTATATTTAAAGAATAGCGTCGATTTTTTCGATACTAAACTCAATTTAAATTTAGTATAAAAAAAATCGACGATTATCTAAAGAATAGTATTGGCTTTTTCGATATTATACATGCTTTGAGAGATATAAAGATAATTTTTCTAATCCTATATACGTATAATGTGTTGTGGTGCAGCTGGTTATCAAGTTAACATATCGAGGGTCCAAGATCAAGTCTCGACTATGCTAAAAAAATATGAATGAATAAAAAGTAAGCTGGAAAAAGAAGATCAGGAAAAAAATAAAATAAATGCTAACGTAGTATCGGCTTAATTGACAATAAAAATATTAAAAAAAATTATTAAGTTAGTGTGAACATAGTGTCGACTTAACCAACAATAAAAAATTTAAAAATAAAATTATTAAGTTAGTGTCAGCTACAATAACACTAATTAAATCGACCATAAAAAAAATCATTTTTGACAACTTGATTGACACAAAAAATTTATATCAACTTATTTAGAATCAACTAAAAATCAACGAATAATTGACAATAAATATCATATTATGTCGATTTTTATTATTTAGAATCGGCTTTTGGCCGACTCTAAAATCAAGCATTCTTGTAATGAAATAGTTTCTTGATAAATATATTAGTAAGGAGAGAAATGAAAGTAAATATTATAAGTAAACCATTGATACATGAAAAGATTTTACTTTTACTTTAGGTTTGAAAATGTTAATTTTCTTATATAGTTTATTATTTAAAAAATAACATTTTTTAGAAATATTATTTTTCATAAATATTTTTTAAACAGGTTTTTATGGGAAGGTGAGAAACTAATTTTTTTAAGATAAAAATAAAATTTTAATGCGATAAAAACATCAATGTTACCTTTATTTAATTATTTAATATAATAAAAATTATTAATTTTTAGATAATATCTATAAATATTTTAAAAAATATGTATCACTAACCAAACAAATTTTTATGATTTTCAGAAATCATGATTCATAGAAATAAAAAAAATTGTGGTATAAGAAACTATCATTGTTACCTTTATTTCATTATTTAATATAATAAAAAATTATAATTTTTAGATAATATGTATAAATATTTTCAAAAATATTTATCACTAACCAAACAAATTTTTATGATTTTTAAAAATCATGATTATGAATGAAAAAATTTATCGTGTAAGAAACCACGCCTAAGAGAATTGTCCCATGCCTACTTCATGCTATTTAGCTTCTACCGTGGATAGAAGGAATGAGAAATATGTAAAGAATGAAAGGGGATAGAATGTAGCTGGAAGAGAGGAAAAGAGAAAAATGATAGGTGTTGTTTGAATTTTTTGTAAAATCAAGATGTTTACATAGTTTTTCTCATATTGTATTGCAATATTTCATTTGTACCAAACAAAATCATGAACTTCGGAACAAGAATATTAGATTTGCTTTTTTACCATCAAAACATTTTACTTTGAATTCATGGAGATTACACATCCTACGTGATATATTACAATCACCAAAATCAATTGGTTTATATATTATAAAGAATTCATTTTATAAGAATTAAAAAAAAATAATATATATATATATATATATATATATATAAAAGTTTATATATTATTTATATAAAGAGTGGTAGCATAATAACTAATAAAGTAAATTACAATTATACTTCTAAATTTCGAGGAAATTGTACTACACTACTTTTTAAAAAGTTTACCATAACATCCTTACAAATGATTAGTGATAGAACTATAAATTTTAAATAGTGAAAATAATATTTATATATATAAATTAGAAACAATAATAATATATAATAATATTGCAAGTATAAATATACATTGTAATTGTTCTTTATGAATATTCTTATGTTGAAAATTTTTTAAAAAAATTCATTTTTAATATTGGCAAAAATGTTCCTATTTATGTAAGTAACTGAACAATTATTCAAACATTCATCTTCGATATAGTTTGCATTTGATTTTTGATGATATTCAAAAAACATTTTTAACTTATATAGTTGTTTGTTACTAGCCGTATCAAAGCTAATTCTAAAAGCAAATTCATCAATGGTGATACTAGATGCTCTTTTTTTTTGTCTCTAAAAACTTCATATAAAGACAATTAATCCATATCCTAATTCTAAAAAAGAGTTTAATGGTGATACATTGATAGGGTAAAATAATTTTACATAGTCATCTAATCTTAATTCACCATTAATGATAAATTCATTGACTTTTACAATAATTATACATTTTGAAAGATTATACAAATTTTGATTTTCGATTGGTTGATTGTGTAAAAAATTTTACACTAACGATGCACGATCATTAAACTCTTCTAAAAATGAAATGTCAGAACAAACATCTATGAAATATTTTTTAAGTTGATTATATAATGTCAAAAGCTTAGCAAGAAAAAAATTAGAAAAATAAAATTAAACAAAATAATATTTGAAAAGATAAAATTAAAAAGAAATGAATCAATTTTTCTTTGTTAAATATAGAAAATGAATTTGTTATACAAAGAAGCAATTTAATGTTTAAAATATTATAATATTATTTAAGAGAATGAGATATAAAAGGCTAATAAAAGAATAAAAAATAAGTAGAAATTACCATATTAAAATAATTGTAACTTAACTTTTTTATAATATTAAAATATCTATTATGAGGGGGAGTAATATAATATATTAATATTTATATATTATTTTAAGAAAAATTTAAATTTTAGTGGAGGGAATTGCTCCCATAGTAAGTTGATGATCCGTCCGTATACTTGTGCTTATATTATATGTTAAGAAGAATTGAAATTTTAGTGGGGACAATTGCACCCATAGGATTAGTAATACATATGTCCTTGCAAATGGTTCATAATAGAGTTTTCAAATAATTAAGGATAAAGTGTTATTGTTATGCAAATTTTTGAAAGAAAAAAAATATTTGTAGAAATCTTTTGTGAATTTTCTTGTAAAAACATATTCACAGAAATTTTTTGTGAATTTATTTGTGAAAAATAATTTACAGATATTTCTTATAAATTTTGTTACAATTTTAATGAACATAGAAATTTTTTTCCATAGTAAAAATTTGCAAAAAATATTGTAAGAATTTTATTTTGTTTCTTGTATATTTTCTTGCAAAAAATAAATTCGCAAGTAATGTTTACTAAATGGTAGAAAAATTTTACAGGTAACTTTTCCTGCAGATTTTCTTGCAAATTTTAATCCACAGGAAAAATAAAAAAAAAAATATTTAAATTTATAAGTTTAATATTTAAAAAAAAATTCAAGTCTTACATCAATTGAAAATAAAACAATTAAAGAGTATATAAATTGGGGCAACACTTGCCTTACAAGTTGATTTGTATGGTTGAGTGTTAGGTTTATAATCTACAATCTTATAATTTAAAAGATTATGTATTGGAGGCATGGAAACAAATGTTTTGGATGAATTCATTGTGAGCAGAATTATTGATAGAATTTATAGTAATTTCTTTAATTTTTTCGTAAAAAATATTTCTGTAGAATTTCTTGCAAAAAAATTCGCAGGAAACCTGCTAATTTTTTTTGCAGGAAAATTTCTTGCAAATTTTTTTCGCAAGAAATTTCGTAAGAAAATTTTCTGCAAATTTTAAAATTCGCAAAAATATATTATCCACGAAGGTATTACTTGTAGATAAAATTTCACAGAAAATTTTGTAGGAACAACGTTTCCTGCGAATTTTTTATAAAAATTCGCAAGAAAAGTCGCATGTAATAAGAGAAACTCTAGTAGTGAGAGTTAATGTAATATCTAAGAAATATTATTATAATGTGTTTCAAATAATTAAGAATAATTATTGTAAGGGTAAAATAAGTAGAGAATGTTTATGCCATCTCACGAGATCTTGAGACGTGTTTATATAATTTATTTTAAATAATATTTAATTCTCTCACTTTCAAATAAGAACTACCTTTTTGGTTAAGTTGTGGATATAAAGAAACGGAGTAAATTACATAGATATTCACTCTACTTTTTTAGTAAATTAAGATTTCATGACACTCTACTTTTTTTATCCATACACTAATCCTTCTTAATTTTATTTGAGAAACATAACACATATTGTATTTAGATAGAAAATTCAAATGAGGTAATTCAGTTTTTTTCAAAGAATTTCAAATGCTTTGGTTTGAAGTATTTTGTTAGGACGAAGAATTTACAAAAAATTTAAAATTTAAGTATTTATAAAATTTCTTAAAATGATATAATTTTAAATTTTCTAAAAATGTAAGAATTTGAATTTTTTTTCTCTTTTTTTTTCTTACCTCCATCTTCTATCTTTCAAAATCAATATAAAAAATATCAAGTTTTTTTAATTATTGAATATTAAAAAAATTAAAATTATTAAATATTACATAATATTTATTTTTAAAAATTATTAAATACTTAAAATTTAACTAATATTTAGTTTTATAAAATTAAATCTTAAAATCTCAACATATATTTCTGTAAAATCAATTTTATTCATAGTAAAAATTAAATTACCTTATCAAAATTAAGAATTTAAAATTTAAAAAATTTGAATTAATATGTTCAACTAAGAGCTTTAAAAAAGGATAAACGTTACTTTTAGTCCCTCTAAAATTTTTTAAATTTGATTTTGGTCCAACAAATTTTTTTTTTGTATTAAAATAGTTCCTTTAAAATTATAATATGTCAATCCCGGTTCTTTTATGTAACTATTAGTAGCACTATCTTATGTGTAAAAAGAAAATATGTAAAAGCCCGATTTTCACATATTGTTTGGGAGCCCAAAGGCGCAATAGGGGTGGTTTAGTAGCCCAGAATGGGCCGTTCCCAAATCGGAACAGGTCGTTTCAAACGATTAAGACGAGAGTGATTTTGTATTCCAGAACGGGCCGTTCCAAAATACAAAAATTGTCTACAAATTTTAGATGTGAACGGGACGTTCTCAAATTGGAACGGGACGTTCCGAAATTGAGAACGGGCCGTTTCAGAGTTGAGAACGGGCCATTCCAAAATAAGACCGTTGTGAGTATTAAATGCACCCCAGAACGGGGCGTTCTGGTTTGAGAACGGGCGTTCTGGATGTGATTTTTAGTCGTGATTTAAGGGTCCAGAACGGACCGTTCTAGATTTGGAGCGGGCCGTTCCGGCGAAGCCTGCACACCTCTCATTTTCTGATTTCTTTTCTTCTACTCTCTCTTCTTTCCCTCTACTTTCTGCTTCAGACCGAGGGGAACCCAGCGAGGGAGACCAACCAGATCTTGCGTAGGTTCAGCTATTACTTATCAATGTACAGGAGAAAAGGGGATTATTTGTATGCAAAGTTACATGAAAGAATTGGGTAGAAGAGGAAGCTCGTAGGATTATGAGTAATTTTATAATTATTTCTGTTTGGAGAATTATTGGTCTTATGTGATTCTGTATGTATTTAGGACTACAAATATATGATTAATTTGTAAAAATGATGTTCTGGGAGAGAGAACGAAATTATAGAAAAGTGTCTGTTAGTTAGGTTTTGGGAAAATTAGACTATTTCTGTTTGAGAAATTGATGATCCCATTAGATTCCGTATATATTGAGGATTAGAAATATATATTTAATTTGTAAGAATGATAATCTGAGAGGGAGAACGAAATTGTAGAAAAGTGTCTGTGAGTTAGGTTTTGAAATAATTGGGGGGTTTTACCGTTTATGTTAAGATGATATTAAATTGCTAATTCTATTGATTATTATATTAATTTATGAATGTTATTGTTATATTATTTGATAAAATTGATGATCTAGATGAGGATTCATGGTGAATTACTTGAGGTGTATGTGAACCACCATTTTGTGTGGATTGTGTATGTATTGTGGAATTGAGATGTGGATGTGGATGTGGATGTGGATCCTCATACTTGTGATCAGGGGTGGCACGACCTTAGGCAAGAAATGCTACAGGCGTGACCTTGGCATAGTATGGGATAAGTGATTCCTCATGCTTATGTCGGGGGTGGCACGACCTCGAGCAAGAGATGTTGCAGGCGTGACATTGGCACAGTGTAGGATGTGTGATTTCTCACGCTTATGTCGGGGGTGGCACGACCTTGGGCAAGAGATGCTACAGGCGTGACCTTGGCATAGGGTGGGATGTGTGAGGCAATTAATGCTTATGTCGGGGGTGGCACGACCTCGAGCAAGAGATGCTACAAGCGTGACCTTGACATAGGGTTAATTGCAAGATTTGTGATGGATTGGTGTGATTGTGAATTGTGATGTGAAGATGTTGCGTGATTGATAGAATTATGATAGATAGAAATGCTTGTAAATACTTCAATAAGTAATGAGTTATGATGAGACAATATTGTAGATTTTTCTTGTGTGCTTTTCATATAGATGTTTTCTTTTCTCACCGTATAATTTGTGGATGTTTTAGGTGAGGAAGATCCGGCTATGAGTGGCATCTAGAATGCCAACAGTTGAGTTATGGGTATGCTCTGATATTGTGACATCGGGGCAGAGGACTTCTAGGACATGAAATTTATTTGTAAATGGAGCTGTACTTATTATTTTGAAAACATTTTATAACCTCTTATGTTTTATTTTCCATGTTTCATTTTCAAAATATTTTGGATATCGAAGAATGTTTCTAAAGGTTTTTATGTGAACCCTTTTACCGACGTTGAAAAATTTATTTCCTTAGTTTATTTATATTATTACAATATATGTGTTGGGGTAGTAAGGGTGTCACAAAATACACTTGACAAACGAAAAGCTTTTTTTAGTTCCTCTAAAAAAGTTTGAATTCGCTTTTGTTCCTCTAATTTTTTTTTGTTGTATTAAATTAGTCCTTGTAAAAATAAAACAAATTGAGTTTAATTTTTTTGAGAGATGTTGATTCCATTTTGTTAGGTTGACAGTAATTATAACGAAATCACTTTTTTATTTTATTCACAATCATAGTGGTTATATATTTGTGAGTCATTATTAGTGGAAATCATCTACTAGTGAAACATAAGTTTGGTTATGTCTATTGAGAAAACATATTTTTGGTACTGTTTATTCTCGATGGAAATGTTATTTTTGAAGCAACATTAAAATGATTTAATTATATCTACTACTCAATTTTTCAAGAAAAAAAAATTGAACAAAATGAGAATTAACATCTCTTAAGAACTAAATTATGCTTATTTTACTTTATATGGACTAATTTAATAGAAAAATTTGGAGGATCAAAGGCAAATTTAATTATTTTAGAGGGAATAAGAAAAATTTCATTTGCCAAGTATATTTTTGTTTGCCACGTGAGATAGTGTCACTATCAAAGTTACAAACAAAAAAGGGTTGGTCTTAACATGTTATAATTTTAAAAGAACTAATTTAATACAAACAAAATTTGTTGAAAAATTTTAGAGGGACAAAATGTAATTTTTATCTTAAAAAAATAATAAAAAATTGAAATTAAAGAAGTTTAAATACTAAAAATTTCAAGTTCTTTAAATCTCTTAAACTTTTCTTTCAAACACACTATAAGACCTAAAAAAACATTACACTAATTCTTTTTAACTGTTTAAAAGAACATTATACTGTAACTTCACAGACATTGCTATAAATGTTAAAAGAACAATAGAGTTATGTATTGTGTAGCTTCACAACATTTCAAGAATGCCATATGTAATAAAGGATAAAAGCACAAGATAGAAGTGACAACAGACAACTAATATGTGTAGAAGATTGTGTCAGCACTCATGAAACAAAAAGTTGGTGAAAAGGACGTTACCACTAGCAATTGCTCGAGCTGAATTTCCACGGGAATTTTGTACAATCAAATGCATCTTGGAACAACTCAGGTTATTGAACTCTTGAACTGCAATTTCCATTGCTATTTTCTGTTGCTTACCCATTATTGACTCCAAATCAAGAACAGCACCCATGTTCATAATGGGCCTTGGGGTGATTAAGCAATGTTCTCTTCCTTCATTGGCTAGTGATAACCTTGAGCATGCAAACAATTGCAAGACAAAGAAGAAGATAATTAGTGACATCTCCTATTGGAGAAATGCCTAGTGAAATCAAGAGAAAGTAATGAAATTGAACCATTGACTTTGAGTATGAGTATTAATAAGCCCCACACTCTGTCATTTCCTCTGACTTTTCATAGTTTGACTCCAATAACACCTTAACCAATTCATATATGTGATCTACTTTTATCTATTTCTTATTCCCAATTTGTATATATAACCATAAGCATGTATGTTTGCTTTGCTCGATTTTTTGAGCTCTTAAAAGTGGTGTTAAGAATGTATAGAAAGGTGATTTACCTTTTAGAGGTTTTATAAAATGCAGAAGCTATTGAAATTCGATCAGTTATCTCAATCTCATGACAGTTTTTAATTTTAACAGAGAGCTAAAAAACAGATTCCCAAAATAATTAGAAACCTGAACTGTTTCAAATTCTTTCTTCAAAATAAGTGTTTTTTCATGAAAATTAATTAACTGAAATATAGTGGGCTTTAATTAAGAAAATATTTGCCTTTTCTTTTTGTGAATGTTCCTTTAAGAAGTTAAAGAAAAAAGTGGTTATTTCCTTAAAAACTAATGCATTAGGCCATTAGTTGGGTCAATTATTACTTTTATAAAAAAAAATTGTTTGACTAAGTATATACCGAGAAGAGAACAGACTCAATGGAAGAAAATGCATTAGGCCATTAGAACTTAGAAGTGTTTGCTACTCAAATAAGGGCCAATCACTGTTGCGTAACATTGAGATGTGAGCTTTTCTAGCTGTTGCCCACTTAGTTTCTATTTTTCTTTTCTTTTCTTTCCCCCTTTCTTTCTTACACATTGAATATTCTTGGTATCCAAACGTCCATTTAATATCAATTGCAAATTGCATTAATAAAATGCATCTTGTTGGTTTTTGAAGTTATATATATATAATTTTTAATTATATATAATAAACATGTATGTATATTATATATATATATATATATTATGTTTAAATATATAAATTATATTTTAAATTTATGATAAATATATTGTAACACAAATTATTTTTATTTATTATATTTATTTTAAAATTAATATTTAATTTATAAATAATCATGATAATTAAAAATTGAATTAGATAAGCAATTAAAAGAATTTTTACAAACTCTATTGTTGAAGAAAAGCCTCTAAAAGTATCATCACATAAAATTAGTTCATACCTAATATATAGGGATTGATACATGTGTATGTATATATATGTATATGTGTGTGTGTGACCATTGTTGAACAAATAAAATGATTTTCTTTTATGTGCACATAATGGTCTACTTGTGATATTTGATCATTCTGAAGTAACTTTGCAAGAATGGTGATTTGGCGAGATATATTATTTTTTAAATACCTCATCAAATTATCATTCTTGCAAGTTGTTCTCCCACGATCAAATATGTAATCTGAGTGTGTTCTTATGTGAAAGTTCTAGTTGACACTCAAAAGTTTTTCAACACACTTTTACAAGTTCTAAACGTCAACGATTACTTAAGAAACAAACAAATTAAAAAGTTTTGAGTAGACCCTTAGAACTTCCTAAAATCACTTCCAAGAAGAAAGGTCTTTACACAAAAAAAGAACTACAAAGAAAAAGAAAATAAAATCATAAGTTATTACAACTCCAATGTTTCAAAATTTGCATCCTATACACAAGGAACAAACAAGTTTTAATGGTAAAATTTTTTGGTGTAGTGTATGTTCCTTCTAAGTGTTTGTACTCAAGGCTCCTCCAAGGCAAGAGTCTTAAATAAACAAGTTTTAATGGTAATGGTAAAATTTTTTTGGTGTAATGTTTATTCCTTCTAAGCGTTTGCACTCAAGGCTCCTCCAAGGCAAGACTCTCAAAGAATGCTTCTTCCAAGTCCTCTACCAACACCTTATAAGGCTATCTTATAGTAAAGTTCTTCTAGGCAAGCATACACTTTCATAAATGGAACCACAAAACACTAGAGAAAATTCAGAGACAAGAAATAAAAACACAATTAATAAAAAGACTAAGCTTAAAGAAATCTAGAGTTGGATTACAAAGGTAATAAAAACTCAAATTCACTTCCAAATTTAATGCAAATTTTAAGCAAATGTAATGTGACTAAAATGAAGCATACCTTGATGTGTGTTATTTTATTTGTACTATTTTAATCTAAGTCGTTTATTTTAATTTAAAGATTGAAATTGAACATTCTCATTCTCACATAAAAATGACAAGTGTATACTATGAGAATATCATTTTTATGTGAGAATGATAATCCTCAATCTCAACTCTTAAATTAAAATAAATGATTTAGATTAAAATAACACAATTAAAAAAACTATCATGTACTATTTATATCATGATTGTGTCTATTATTATCATTGTCATAATTGTCATTGTAATTGTTGTTGTTGTCATCATTATCATCACCAATATCACTATCATTGTCATTATCAGAATCATCACTATCATTATTGATACCACTCTCATCATTGATAGTGATGACGACGATGAAGGTAATAATTATGATGATAATGATAATGACAAATATAAAACTAATGGTGATAATAACAATTGTAATGATAGTACATAATAATTTTATTTATAATTTTTTAATTTAAGTTAACTAATATAGTTTAAGAATTCAAATTGATCATTCATTCTCATATAACAAGGTCATTCTTGTATTTACCCTTATATTCCCTCAATTTTTTTTGTTTTACTCTTTAGATTCATCAAATAATAAATTTTGTGAAGATACAAATTTTAGTTGTTTTTTTACGGGCTTGATACATTAAAATATTGCCATTTTTTTAACAAGTAGAAAAGAGACGTTTTGTGTCTTTATAAATTTTGGTTACAAATAATATAAATATAAACATAACTAATAGAAATAATAACATATAAATTAAACGAGATAATGTATAATTAAAAAAAATTTAAAATAATCTTAAACAAATAGAAATTAAAATAATTACAAATTAAGTTAATATATTATTAATAGAGTGAAAAATTAATTTTTTTATATAAATATTTTTTTTCTTATATTCTATGATGATAAGAAAAGAATTAATATATAATAAAAGATTATAAATATCTTTAAAAAATAAAAATAAAAAAATCAAAGAGAGATATCCTTTATATTATAATATAGGTAATATATATCGTTTAGTCAATGTAAACTTATATTTACTTTTTTTAAGAGATTATTTTCATTCTCATATTTCACTTATATTCACATAATTTTTATCTAAAATATATATATTTTTATTTTCTATATTAATAAATAATAATTAAAATAAATTATATAAAATTAATTAAATAAAAATGACATTAGTATCTAGTTTAAGGGGGGGAAATAATCTTGTAGAGAACTAGTGACACCGATTGAAGGAAATTACGTGTTAGATGAACCTGTAAATATGTCTCAACTTATCTAAACCAAGATGAAAAAAATACGAATTAATTTGGGTAAAATAGAATGCAAGCAAGTAAAACCTACCTTTTTAGTTTTGAACCTCAACTCTGCCATTCTTAAACCCTGTAACCAGGCCCAACTTTAACCCTTTCAGTCTCACCTCAAAAACGGTGCGTTTTGATTGCATCCTCGTGTAGGAAGTTTCAGGTTTTGAAGCTCCATACCCTAATTCAGTTCTTTGATTGCGGTGAGTCCTCATTGATCTCATGCTATTAAAAATTCGGCATTTAGCTGAGTAGTTACTTCATCTTCGTTGTTTGCCATCGAAACCCAACACTGAATCAGTATCTTCTTGTTAATTGTTTTGTGGAATGAATGAAGTTATATAATTTAACTCACATTCCACGTGGCAATGAAGAATTAGACTCGCTCTTGGAAATTCGTCGATGTTTTCAATTTTTTTTTAGTGGGCAAAGTTTTGAGTTTAATTTTTATTTGATTTTGGTTCCAATCTATGTTTGGGTAGAATGGGTAATCATGTTACAGGGTGTTGTTTGATGCTTTGTGTTGGGTGGGTTGTTTTTACGTTGAGAATTTAATGGACATGGTTACTTTCCTGCTACCTGTTTGATGAAATGATTGAGCCTTTTCAGAAATAAACTAATTACAAATGTGTGAAATATGTTGATGGATGATTTTGTGATGCTATACCTAATGGTTTTTTTGTTTGAATGTGAAGTAATTTAACAAAAACACGAGTTCTTTTCTGGTTATTATTAAAATCAAGAAAATGTTACCAGCTGTGTTTTGGATGCATGACTCTCTATGGTCGTATCCTTAATTAGCCATAATACCATCTATGTCTAAGAACTGAACCGGAAATCAAACCATTGAGGCCTCAAGCTTGCTGTTCGATTGGTTTGACCACTGGTTACCCAAAGGCCTTTGACTTGCAGTTTGGTTCTTATGGCATTGATGTGTGCAACTACACATCGCTGGAAGATCCATTGCTATTCTTATTTTTATGAGTCCCAACCAATGTGTTTATTTTTGAAGATATGCAAGTTTTTTGGTTTGACATTGTCATGTTGATAGTAATTTGTTTTGGGTGTTGACAGTGAGAAAAGAGGTGACTGTGAATCCACATCCAAATCTGAATGGGTTATCTTCAATTTGGCAGACATGGTGTTAGGCAGATCATTAGATTTAGAGATGCCAGTTATGATAATGCTGTGGTAAACCCACTCCTGTATGCTTCCCAGGGACTTCGTTACAAGAGGAAGCTCCAAGTCATCCTTACAACTGTAATTACTTATCTTGGGTTGTGATGCTTGTTTTCTGGGATTGCATTTAAGTTCAATTTTCTGAAAGTTCTAATTTCTAATTTATAGGACATAGATAAGCTGGGAAAGGCAGGTGATACTGTCAAAGTTGCCCCTGGATATTTTCGCAACCACCTAATGCCCAAGCTCCTTGCTTTACCTAACATTGATAAGTTTGCCTATCTCCTCAATGAGCAGCGCAAGGTGTTTTTTTTTCTTCCGATTAATCTCTATTTTATCTGTTTATTTATGCTACTTCTTTGTCAATGCCATTCATCATTAGGTAAATTTATGTCCAGTTACAATTCTCTGCATTTTACTATCTTCTGGAATAAATTTTTAAATCTTTGTTATGATAATGCTGTTTGACATCCGATCCTTGGACAACTGCATCCTTTGCATTTGTTTGTGTTTATGTGAATGTGTGTGTGTGGTTATTCTATGCTTGTATACTTGGCTCATAAACATTTGCATACTCCCATAGGCAGTCTCTATTACTTTCTTCTCCGTATTCACCTTTTACTTGTGTTATGTTTTAAATGCTTCAGATCTATCAACCAACTGAAGAAATAAAACAAGGTGTGACTCTAGTTAAAGAGTCAAAGGTAGATATGATGAAAGAGTATGAAAAGGCAGCACTACGTCTGGATAAAGCTAAGCTGGTTTGTAGTTTACTCTTCAAGGCTTTTCATTGCTGTTTTAGACTATTTCTGTGATCCTTTATGGGGAAATTGTTTTCTTTTTCTAGTAGATTATTGCTTTATGTTTATTATCACTCCCCGGGGGAATTTGGTGTATTATCTAAAATACAGAGGAACTGTTCTGAGCTTTTTTTTAATTTTTATTTATTATGTATTACCGATTCAAACTTCAATTTTGAGTATGTTTTATGATGATACAAATATTGTAACTGTGGAAGTTCTAACACAGAAATATGTAGTTGATAATTTGATCTATATCATGTTAAAACCCACATGTTAATATGGATTATTTATTTATTTTAATGTGGAATTGGATGTTATGATCTAATAGGTCTTGCGGAGGTTAATTGATGTTCAAAAAGCAAAGTCGCGTGAATCAAAAGATGTGCCCTTGGAGTTACGTTTTCCCGTGACAAAAGATATTCTTGTGGCTGAGGTAATATTTGATATTTGTAGTTTAAAAATGCTTTTTTATTTTATATTATATATATATATATATTAGCTAAGTAACAAATTAAGCGATGAGAACATAGTCTGTTAGATTTGTACCTTGCCATTATTCAGAGCATGGAATGGAGAACGATTCATGTTAGAATATCTGAATAATATTTTATAATATTATTTTTGTATCTTAAAATATTTTAAAGTATCTTAGATGACCTGTTATTAATGGTTTTCATATTTCATGATTTGTTTCCTTATTTAATTATAATTAGAAGTCTAATAGTAGTTTAAATAGGGGATAATACTCTTTCTTCTACTCCATCAAATCAACAGTCTATATTTTCTCTTTTCCTTCACTTAATCTTAACAATTAACTGTAGTTTACATGTTTACCTTATGTCTTGGATCAATTACGGTTGCTCGGCTGTGATATTCGTGTTTACCCTATACTGGTTATCTTGACATGTTAGTAAACCGTGGGAGAACTACATTTGTTTTTTTATCAGTGGAAAGAGGGTTCGATCATGTATGTAGGAAAGGGGAATGTTACCCTAAAATATGACAGTTTTGGTAATAAAGAATTTATATGAAAATAATCCTTGCTCCAAATGTAAAATTGCTACTAGTAGATGATTGTTCTTGCTGGTGTGTTGTCTCTAACATCCTTCTTCTCAAACCGAAAGATTCCAAATTTGAGGTGTTAGTGTTTCTGTCACAAATCATATAATTTAATTGCAACATTTGTTTCTTATAGAAACTAATTAGGATTTATTTTCATCTCATTACTTTTTTGTGTTGCTTTTAAAAAATGGGTGAAAAGTTACTTCTATATCAATTATCTGAAATTACAAAATGTATATTTGCCAAATTCTAATGTTGTTCCTATCAGGGTAGCCTTTTTTCTTACAATTCTTTTTTTCCTCATTCTTTCTCTGCTACTAACTTTTGTATGTTCTATCTTAAGGTGGCAAGACAACTCTGTGTGAACATTGCACCCGATAACATTCATCTTCCATCACCTTTATCGACACTGGGAGAATATGAGGTGCCACTGCGTTTACCAATGTCCATCCCGCTGCCAGAGGGCAAGGTTAACTGGAATTTGAAAGTTAAAATCAGGAGTAAATAAATCACTCGTCTTGTTGAATTCAAGTTCACCAGCGATGGGATTATTGTTTTATGCTGATAAATCATTAATTTGAACCCGGGAATTATTAGATCTTGACATTGCTTTCATTTATAAAAATAGAAATGCGACACATTTAACGATGTCTTTTCAATATTCTGTTATTAACGAGTGTTATTGACATTTTTTTTCAATGAAGTGTTGTCTAGGTGTCTTATTTTATTTGAATTGCAATCGATTTTTGTTTATCTATTAACTTGAAGTCTTGAACACAACACATCCTATATCTACCTCCAATTTGGGATTTTGGTGGACCAATTTGGAGTTTATCACTTTCAAGGAAATAAGATAACTTCTACATTTAATAATCTGAAGCAAAAAAGATAAAGTAACTATACCAAGAAAATGAAACTTCAATTCATTTCATAACCAGTAAAAGGTTACAAGGATTATTGTAAACAATGAAAAGTAACGGTCAAATGAGCTACAGCCCTTAACACTACAGAATGTCCTTAAGCCATGTAGGCTTCCTAATGGTTCTATTGGGCCTTTGCGTTTCCTTCCTAATGGTGCCTATCTCATGGCCATCAACTTTTCGGCTCCCCGTCAAAATTTACCAAGCAGTTGAAGACTTGAAGAGTAAAATGATATTGAGTCTTCCTATAGTGATAAAGCTGAAAAATCAAAATTCATCAATTGATTTTAGTATAGGAGAAGACCGTTTGTGTTAAATGTATCTAAGTCATGCTTTTTATCTTATAGCATTTTTTTATGCTTTCTATATATATTTTTATGTAATATTATTAACGACATTGATGTATGTGACTAAATTTAATTTAAATATTAATTTGATTATATTCATTTTATTTTAGTTATTATAAAGATGTATTTGTTATTATAATCATGATAGTAGATATTTTGTTAGTTATAATAAATTTACTTCAAAAATAAAAATAATGCAAATGCGAATTATTAGTTGTATTAGCTATTAAAGATAGTTGCTAGTATATAATTTTTCTAAAATATATTAATTTTAGCGAATGAATTAATGACGATTAACTTAATTCAATAGTTTTGAAGTGATTGAATTATATTTGTAGATTTTAAAAAAAATAATTTATAGTTTAGCAACCGACTTAGCGACAGAGAAATATTGTTATAAATTTGGTTCTCATTGATAAGGTGACCAATATTGTAGTGACGAATCTATATCTATCAGCAATTGATGGAGTCAATTGTTATTCAGCCACTTATTCCATTTTGTTTGCTAATTCAGTCTCTAAGGTGAATCACTTGGGAAAATGTCGATAGCTAAATAGTGTTTCTTTTAGTGGTTGTAGGTTTTGATGTTATAAAATGTTATCTATAATGGAGTAATTACAAAGGCAGTTAATTGTGTCTGCTATGAATTATATGGAGGGATGTGAGTGATATGGAAAACATTTGTCCTTCTTGGATAACTAGAGTTGTTCCTTGGGCTTTTTAAAAGAGTAAGACGTGAAATATGAATAGTCACACTCCATATTATTTGTTACCATATACCAAGATTGCTTTTGAAGGTAATCAATTGTGCTGTTGTCAACCTGGAAAACTTTGGTTAGAACCTTTGCAAAAATAGGCGGAGTAACTTTAAACAAAACATTTACATTAGTGATAGTTTCTAGATTTTGATTGTTGAAACTAGCGATGAAAATTGCATTTGCATACCTCACATTCAATTGGAAATGAACGAGACCAATTGGAAACACAAACACATCACCCTTGTTTATCACTTTAGTAAATAGACAAGTTTTTTCTTGATTGGATGACACAAATCCAACATAAATAGTTCCTTTAAGCATTATAAGGATTTATGTGTTAGAAGGGTGAGTGTGAGGAAGGTTTAAACTCTTTGGTGCATAATCTATGCTAGCCAAAGATACATTAAGTGTGTTTAACCATGATAATTGATCAACAAACATAAGAGTCACTTATGAACCCAATGGCTTGTTAGTTTTCCCAAGTTCCACACATGTGAAGAAATCTTCAACTTTCAAAATCTTGGGATCTTCACAAAACTTTCCATTCACAAACACTATAAATAAACAAGAAATTTTTTTAATTAAAATATACATCATAAAATTAACAAGCTCTTAGAATTTGAGTTCACTAGTGCAAAAATTGGATTTAAAATTGGAGTTTTAAGATCGGTTACCTTGTAATCGATCTTAAAAGTGACGCGGTGACAATTTTGTAAATAATATCAACACTTTTAAGATCGGTTATTTTATGATCGATTTTAAAAATTTCGTCAGGAACCTTTTATATTTCCCTCTATTTTCATTCTCTTTAATCTTTCCCTTCATTCCTTTTTACTCTCTTGCGCTCTCATTTTCTAAAGTCTCCCGAAAGGTAAATTTCGTTGTCGTTTTTGTTTTCATCTTTTCATGCTCTTCTTGTGTCTCTTTTTGTCTTCTCATGCTCTTTTAATGTCTTTATTTTTGTTGCAGGTTCATTTTGGGTAAATTTCGAAGCTGGAACGGCCCGTTCTGCAAGGAGAACGGCCCGTGCTGCAAGGAGAACGAGCCGTTCTACAAGCAAAACTGGCCGTTCTGCAAGGAGAACGGGCCGTTCTGGATTGGTTTTAACTTACTCCAAACTATCCTAGAACGGCCCGTTCCAAATTATAATCTTAAGCCTTTTTAACAACTTGGAACAGCCCGTTCCAATTTTGGAACGGCCCGTTCCAGTTTTGGAACGGCCCGTTCCAGTTTGATGTTTTTTCAAAACCCAGGCTTTTAAGATCGATTATAAAACAACCGATCTTAAAAGGTAACTTTTAAAATTGGCTCTTTTAAAATCGGTTACGGAACCGATTTTAAAAGTCGAAAATAACTGATTTTAAAAACCTTTTTTCCACTAGTGGTTGTGAGGAATGTTATTGTTAATTTGTGCATACCACCACAAGTTTCTTTTACTACCATAGAAAAATCTTTCAAAGGACTAGGGTCCTAGGCAAAGACAATCGAGGATGTCAAAGCCAAAATGGCAACATAAACAACTTTCATATTTTCCTTTTAGTCTTTAATAATGGTTCAAATTGTATAAATGTGTTTCTTTTGAGATTTGAATTTTGATTCATGTGAAGCTTGTTTTTTTTTATAAGGATAAAGTATTGAATTGGTTTTCAGTTTATTTTTATCCTAATTAATTCTTAATTTGATGATGAACCATTCCTTAACAATTAACGTTACTTGATCAAAGTGTAAACTAAGCAAATGCTCCACAAGAAAAAAAGGCAAGTGTTTCGATATAATACCTCTTCCACTTGGCTTTGTACCCATTCTTGACATTATTTTATAATTGAAAGCTCGTTAACCGAATCAAAGTTCAATTAAGACTTTGTCTCAATTTTGCAGACTTGATTTGACGATAATAATTTAAGTATTTAAAATGTTACTCCTTTTCCTAGCTCATCTTCTATTGGTTTCTTGTTATTGTTCCTAACTTGTTACTTGCTTTTCTTTTAATACCACGATATTATTATGCATCAACCAAAGTTATATGAAATTAAATCACTAACTACCCTTCAAATAATATGTACCCTTACAATACTCGGTTACGGATTTTAACCCCCAACCTTATACCTTTTTCATTGGTCACTTCATAAGCAACATGCCTCGACCTTGCTCCCATACTATATCAACTAAAAACTTAAAGGATATAACTTTTAAAGACAACCTCCACCTTAGGAGTCAACTTTCTTCAAAGGGTTTTCATTTTTGGGCTCTTAGAGCACCACAACTTAGATTCTCACAGTGACACACGAAAACAACTCAAGTTTCTTTTGTTTCTAATTTCAACTCATAACAAAGAAGGCATGCATTATGCATAAACAACTCAAGCAACACTTCTCATATACCACACGACATGTCTAAACTCAAGACACACATACACACACATCCTCACTATCTTATAAGAGAAATAAACAACATATAATATCTTCATAAGTTAACACATTTAATGAAACATCATCAACTCCACATTATACATATCTTTCATCTTAAAATACACCAAAATAACTCAAAATTAACAACACAACACAAACTTCCAAAACAAGGGTCTCATTGAGCACTTGAACCCCTCATTGAGCAATCTTGACTTTTTGTCTATCCTCTCATTAAGCAAACATGACTCTCTATGGGTCTTCTCATTGGGTGAGCTTCCCTAAGAGTCACCCATAGATTTATCTTCTTGTTGGATGACACTCACCTTGGTGAGTGAGAATAAAAATCTGGATAGACATATATTCACCAGTTAGGCATGAACGTATTGGGCGAGCATGCATTCTTGTTTGGTGAGAATGGGAATGTCCTCCATGGAACTTGCCTTCTTTCAACAAATTAGGCCCCGCTACACTAATCCTCTACAACACGCAACTCATAAAACTTATACTCCACATCTCCTACAACTTAAGAATAAACAAAAAAACAACATGCAACAACAAGCGAATTCAATCAAATAATTTCCATACCTCCTTCAACCCTAAAACCCAACACCAAACTTTATCACACATACACACACACACACACACACACACACACACACACACACACATATATATATATATATATAGAT